GGCCTCATTGTTTCTATATATGTGTCAGGTAAATGCTTTTAACACACAGCATTCCTCCCTTGGTAGGTACTAAGTAATAAAGGTTAAGTTGTTCTGAAAATGATTTTACATTTCTGTTTCAGCTATGAGTTAGTGTCTGCTTCTAAAATTAAGAATGATTCTAACGCAGAACATCATTAATTAGTTTTCCAATGGCCCATTTGCTCAGGGATTCCATGCCTCTTGAACAAATTGCTCAGTTGTTCACAGAAAATTATATCTTGTTAGGTAGACTCAGGGAGGTGTCTGATTAATTGCTAAAATAGTGTGCTAGAGGAAGACTCTGGGCTATTAGCTCACAGATTTTTTTTAAATGAATTTAGTTATATATTAGAATACTAATTTTTTAAATTGTGGTATAATATTTTGGTTGTTCTGTTTATTTTCTTTGCCATAAGTTTTTCCAACTTTCCATAAATTAGAAACTAGAAATAAGGGAAGAGGCATAATCATCCCAAATAACCTTCTGTGGTTCTATTCAACAACCAGCTACCAATTGAAATATGAAGCTGGGTCGGGCACAGTGGCTCACGCCTGTAATCCCAGCACTTTGGGAGGCCGAGGCAAGCAGATTGCTTGTGCTCACTCAGGAGTTCGACCCCAGCCTGGCAAACATGATGAAACCCGTCTCTACAAAAAATACAAAAATTAGGGGTCGTGGCGGTGCACACCTATAGTCTAAACTACTCAGGAGGCTGAGGTGGATCACTTAAGCCCGGGAGATCGAGGCTGCAGTGAGCTGAGATCACACCACTGCACTCAGCCTGGGTGACAGAGCTAGACCCTGTCTCAAAAAAAAAATAAAAATGCTTATGTTTTTAAAATATAAAGATATTTAAAAATTTTAAAAAGAAAATAAGAAATATGAGGCTGAAAAGCACACATGTGCCCAACATAAGGGGTTGGGTTCCCCCGCCTTATCAAATTGCCCAGCAGCTGCCCAAGAAAAAAAGAATTGTTAATGACAGAATGAAAAGCAATAATTGCAGCCAATCTGAATAAGCCAAATATAAAAACCCATGAAGATGTAAGAATAAGCGGGAAATTAACCAGAGGCTTGTGAGCATAAGGACATAAAAGGTAGTTAATAACATACAATAGTGATTAAAAGAGTCAGGGAAAGGCAGATGAGGAACAAATCAAGTTACGGAAGGTCTAGGCTAAATTTCTGGCCAATAACCAAGTTATTAGTACAAACTGCTGTTGCCCCATAGGTTGCAGAAGTGTCCAAAACCCTTGGCTCCTGGCTGAGAATCTGGACAGAATGTCTCCCTTATGAAGAATTTGGTTGTGCAAATGTTTAGTTTCTGCAATCAGGGATGGGTATAGTGTATAAAAAGCCCATTTCAGGCCGGGCACAGTGGCTCACACTTGTAATCCCAGCACTTTGGGAGGCCGAGGCAATTGGATTACTTCAGGTCAGGAGTTCGAGACCAGCCTGTCTACCATAGTGAAACCCCATCTCTACTAAAAAATATAAAAAGTTAGCCAGGTGTGGTGGCAGGCGCCTGTAATCCCAGCTACTCAGGGGGCTGAGGCAGGAGAATCGCTTGAACATAGGAGGCAGAGGTTGCAGTGACCCAAGGTCGCAACCACTGTACTCCAGCCTGGGCAATAGAGCGACACTCCGTCTCAAAAAAAAAAAAAGCCCATTTCAGGCCTACATTCATACACACACACACAGTTTCATGACTCCAGATCTTTGCTAATCCCAATTGTTTCTTCTTCCTGGAAGCATCTTCCCTTCTTCCTCTGCCATTTAAATTCAGATTGATATTGATGACCCCCAAGAACTACTCTTCCTTCTATACTCTGTTGTCTACTCCTAACTGGGGGTGAGGAAGCAGCAGGAGATGTCCACAAATAGCAGAGGCCTCTTGGCGAACAGGTCATGGGTGCGCTATGAACAAGCTCTGCTAGCCTCCACATTCTACAGGGGATGAGTTCTCCCCCAGCCTCCTCCTCCTCAGCTTCTCTCCAGGGGGTACCTATGACTGAGTGACCTCTGACACTCGGTGCCTCCAGGGTAAGAAAGTTCCCTTCAGAAGAGCAGCTAGCACAGCCATTATTGAGTCTGTCTCTGCCTCTACCGCCTCACGCCACTTCAGTCTCCTGAGATGAGCTCATAAGCCCAGCAAGACCGTGAGCTCATCTTGAGATGAGGATATAAATGGACAGAAGACTCCACTCACAGCAGGGCTTTCACAGCTGCTGTCCAGCACGGTCAGCCAAGAGAAGGCACGGAGTCTTACTGAGTGTCTCTTACGGACAGCATGCTTCACAGATAATGTCTGTCTTCTTAAAGCCTATCAGCTAACGCCTACTAGCAGTACACACACAGCCAAATTTAGGGTTATTAACTTGTTGCAGCAAGAGAGCACGTATGCAAGAGGAATCGTGGAACATGAAAAGGTGAAAGTTAGGAAAGCGTACTTACTAAGACGGGGGAGCTGGAGTTAAAGGTTCTTGGCAGGGATTGTTCAGAATCTGGAAACTAGAAGTTGCTGGAACTGTCAGTAATTTTATCTACAGAACGCCAAAGTCATGAGATGTACACCCATGTTCATGGCCACACTATTCCTAATAGCCAAAAGGCAGAACCAATCCAAGTGTCCATTGACAGATGAATGGATAGATAACATGTGATGTATACATACTATGGAATATTATTCAGCCTTAAAAAGGCACGCATGCTACACATGAATGAATCTTGCAGACATTATGCTAAGCAAAATAAACCAGACACAAAAAAAGACAAATTCTGTATTATTCCACTTACGTGAGGTACCTAGAGTAGCCAAACTCATAGAGACAGAAAGTAGAATGGTGATTGCCAGGGGCTTGGAGGAGGGGAGAATGGGGAGTTATGTTTAATGGGTACAGAGTTTTGTTTTGGTAAGATGAAAAGTTTTCTGTGGATGGATACGGTGGCAGTTGAGTAACAATGTGAATGGACTCAGTGCCACTGAACCGTATACTTAAAAATGGTTAAAATGGTAAATTTCATGTTATGTATATTTTACTACAATTTTTTTTAAAAAGTCACGTGGAATGACTGTTAGATCAGTTTGTCTGATGTCCTCTAAAAAAAACGGGTCTGCATGTGCTGGTTAGTGTTTGAGTTTAGATACTTTCTCCTGTATGCTGTGGCTTGGCTCGGTTTAACTGTTTTGCAAGTCACAGAGCAGATTTGCAATATGTGATTTGTGTTTTAATTCTCAGTTCCCCCATCTCAGACTAGCTGTCAGCAGAGCTGTTTTTCACTTTCTCAATCTCATTTAGTTGTTTGCTTGTTTGTTTATTCGTCTTAACAACTGAAAGCAGTACTAGATTCAAGATTCCAACCCAAAGCTGCCAGAATTCTCACCGTGAACTTTTCTATCATACGGGTCCTCTAAAGGTTAAAACGGCTCATTGAAATATGCACAATCTGTCTGTTCCTAACACATAACAGATTTAAATCCGTATCAACTATGCCAGGAACCCTAAAATACTCAGATAAATATGGCATTGCCTGATTTCCAGGACCTCACAGACTGCAGGGCAAAACATAAATACATAGTTATGTGTAAGAAATATAATAAATCTAGAAGGTAAATGATCATATGCCCATGTTAAATATCTACATAATTGTGATACTACTCACTTACATTTGGTTAGAATCCTTTCACAAAGAAGAGAATCTCCTTTTTCTAGAGATGAGATTCAAAATTAAAATGGAACACTACTAGAAAATTTAACACATTCACTTAGATTTCTCTGAAGCATAAACGATGGTGTTAAAAGAGTAGATTTAGATAAAGCAGAGAAAGAAAGCAGAGTAATTCCTAACAGATGCATCATAATTTAAAGCAGGAATCGGCAAATTTTTTCTGTAAAGGGCCAGAAAGTAAATATTTAAGGCCTTACAGGCCATATGCGGCCAAAGACAATATGTAAACAAATGAGTATGGCTGAATTCCAATAAAACTTTATTTATGAAGCTGAAATTTGAATTTAATGTAATTTTCACAGGTCATAAAATATTCTTCTTTTTTCCAAACATTTAAAAATGTAAAAGCCATTTTTATCTCTCAGGCTGTAGAAACACAAGCAGCAGGCTGAATTTGGCCTGCAGCTATAATTTGCCAACTCCTGCTTTCAAGCCTGACTTCTCCAAGTGTAACCCAGTCTGGCAGCATCAGCAACACCCAGGAGCTTGTCAGAAATACAGAACCTCATGCCCAATCCCAGATCTGCTGAAGGAGAACCTACATTTTCAACAACCATCATGTGTTTGTTTACGCAGTTTAAGGTCCACTCAGGTTGATACATGACTGTGGTCAATCCCTGTGCTTCCCAAGGAAGTGACCTTACCTTGGGAATGTTCTGAACCTCTCTGTGCCTCAGTTTCCCCATGTACAAGATAAAGATGATAGCATTTCCTCCCTTAAGCATGGCTGTGAGAATTCGCACGCGCGTACACACATACGCACACACATGGCTTAAAACAATGTTTGTCATTACCATAACAAAATCTTCTGTTATTTTCATAGCCACTCTCTGAAACAGGCAATGTTGAACTAATTTGACAGAAGAAACTGTAGTCCAAAAAATACAGAAATTCACCTAGGATCACAATTTAGTCCTGAGAATAATTATCAAAGGGACAAAAGGGGGACAAATGCCCCAGGCTCCCAGGTCTTCAAGCCCATGTGCCCCTCTCGGGGAACACTCTCCATAACCTCTCAGCTCATGCCCCTTAGATGATCCCTAAAAATACTTCGGATCTCCCCAAATCTGTACCCCAAGTTACCCTTTCATTCCTTGAAATTTATTTTCCATTAAGTCGCATAGTGTTTTTTTTACAACTTCTCTTTCTAGTTATAGATTGTAAATTTTTCCTTTGCTGAGTCTTGGAACTGACCAACTGTTTTTTATTATATTTGTAGGGCTCAGGGGAAAAAAAAAAAGGCAATTCCTTTATTTGAGAATCCTGACATTTATTAGCATAATAAAACTCTCAAGATGAAATTGCAGTTTTCCAGACAGTAATTTCATTTGCAGGACAACTTACAAGGGATTTATTTTAAAGCCAGGTAAAAAGGTAAAACCTAAAATATATGAGACATGCAGAAATTGCAGGGCCCAAATAAAATGAAATAAATGTGTTAGGGATGGAAAACCCAGCTGTTGTCTCTCTCATATTAATTAGGGGTGACAGGAACAACAGCCCAGGGATTCAGGGCCTCAACCCATCTTGGTCTGCTTTCAAAGCTGCTGTTAGTTCTTGGAACAAAAGTTTCTTCCAACACCTTGAAAATCATCACATCATATCCCCCGACACATCATGGCTAAGGACTAAATTGTTGTTGTTATCGTGGTTGTTGTTAGAAATACCTTTTTCATTTGGACAGAGCTTTCATGTTTATAATTTAACTGACCTGCAAAAAAACCTAGTGACGGCCATACAGAAAATTCCCTTTTCAGTCATACTGAGGTTTACTGAAGTTAAATGACTTGGACAAAGTCACATAGTTGGTAAATCATCAGAGAGCCAAAACTAAAGCATCATTCCTCTGCGTCCATAGAAATAAGGCAATTTTAATGATAATTTTAATGATAATCAATTAAGGCACATTAGAGTTCAGAAAGGAGGTTCCTTCCATCATTTCACTGTATGCATGCAGTGAGACAGGCAGACCTGGGAAAGCCACGGAGCTGAGTTGCAAAATTGATATTATTGAACACTTCTCTATGATGGGTTCTTATCCTGGATTCCCCAAAAGGTAGAGCCAGTGGCAAAAGCCTACAAGCTGCTACTTCATTCAGAAGTGCAATCCCAGAGCAACAGGAGAGAGCAGGGCAAGGCAGAGAAGAAGGAACAAACAGGAGCAGGGGGGTGTCATACTGATCCAGCCACCACTTGGTTTCATCGTGACTGGTTGCCCGATCTTGCAGGACCGTCTTCTAAAAGACCATTCAAACAGATGCCTCTCAGAATAGTTCCTCCAGGAGGAAGAACGGGGAAAAAGCGATCTACCAGCCTGTGACTCCCATTCATCCCAGATTCACCACATGGGGCATTCACTTCCCATCTCCTCTGTCTTATGCCTCTGCAGCAACGGGAGACAGGACATGTGGCAAGCTACCACTGGCTTATGCTCACATGACACTGATCAACATAGGGAGGAAGAGCAGAACTCATGCAAAACTGGTTACAGTGCTGGTGGCTTGTGGTAGAGAAGTGACCAAGAATCTAAGGAACAGGTGAGGCAAGAGAAGAAGAGGGGCATAGGAGATGTTTGATACAGCCATCAAGTAAAATAAATTGTTCCCTAACATCCCTAGGGTCCCTTCATTCGTTCCCTCTCACCAAACACAATGCTGCAAGCATTATAATGCTAATAAGTTCCAGGGTGAGGATCTGAACCCGAGTTTTCTTGACTGTAAAGACTGTAATCTTCTCTTCATAATATACTACCTCGGTGTATATGGCTATAACTGTGGAACACAAGTATGCACCAATAGACACCATCACTGAGAGTTACTGAGGAGTTATTGGGTGAGTCTTCTTGTTAATATAAGGAACATACTGAGATTAAGTTGACAAGCGAATTAAAAGGACAATGAGGACAGAGCTAATCATTGGAGTAACCTGCATAAAGAGGGCCATATCACAGACAGCAGAGCCACATTAGATTTCTCAAAACCATTCTTGCATTTATAACTCACCCCAGGTCTTGAAGACATCTGTAGGATTACATAAAACCATTGCAAAACCAGGGCCAAGATATGATTCAAAGATAGAGGAGAGTGACAAAAGAAGAGGCCAAATAAGGAAGTCAGGACAGTGTCAATCAGCTGCCCTGGAAACTGGGGCTCGCCTTAGATAATTCCAATGATAACATCAATAAGGGTAATAATGGAGATTATGAAAGATGCAGCATTTATGTTCTCCATAGAAATCCTTCATAATCTTCCATTATCACCATGATTTTATAGAGCAGGAAATAATTTACAAGAAACCACTGCTAATTTGTGTTGGAAAACTTTTAGAAGATGTGCATTCATTAACAAACATTTACTGAATGTCTACCATATGTTAAATTTAGGGTTCGGCACTGGAATTATTTTGGATTATTAAAACATGGTCCACACACTGTAAAAGCTCAGTTTCTGGAAGCCATAACAAACAGGCTTTGTCTTCTAAGGTCATATAGCTAAGCTCTTCATGAAAGAGTTGCATGAGCTATTAGCAATTTCTGTCCTGATCACTGGGATGAGACCAGTAGCCCTATGCCATAGATGTCATATCCCTTGAGACATATTAATCTACTTTTTCCTCTGGATAGTGGTGGATCTTCCAGAAGGCCATAGAATTCGAGTTGAGAAGTTCTTAAGCTCAGTTCAAAAACAGGATGCCCAAAGGAATCCAACTGATAAGGAAAAAAAATATTATTCAAACAATGGATGGTAGTCTGGTGGGCTGTCCCTCTGTCCACAGGGTTCCTGAAGTAACTCTCCTCCTGAAACAGTGATAATTTCCTCCTAAAAGAGAAAAAAAGGAAAATCCATTTATCATCAAGACAGGGAAATACACATCTATGAGAGAGAGAGTGTGGTTCAAGACAGAGAAACTAACAATATGCATCTGTCTCCCCTCATTCAGATTGCTAGAAATGACATTTTAAAAATCTGCCTTTAAAAAGAAATGAATTCATAAAAAGTACTGGAAAATAAAAAAATGCCATTGACAAAGTGAAACATATTGAAGAATCCTTGAAAAACAAAAGACATGCAGGAGGGGCTTGTCAGAGGAGTCAATGTGGGACACCAGTTACAGCAAGTTGAGGAAGGGTTGAGGGACTCCAGTAGGTGTTTGCCTCAAGCAGGTCGGGGAATGAGGAGATGCACACAGTTCCTTGGAAGCCCCAAGAGATCCAAAAAGTTCAGACAGTCCCATGCCCAAAAGATGAGCCACTCACAGTCAGCTCCAACTCCTACAGCATGAAGACACTGGATTTGGGAAACAAAACTATATTCACTCATGATAGAAAATTCAAAGTTGGACTATCACTTCATAGCCTAAAATTTATAGGCATTTAAGCAAAATTATAACCATAAAAGAAAGATGCTGAACTCAACAATAGAAATGATTTCCAGGAAAATATCAAGTCTATAAAGCAAACAGAAAAGGCTTTAAGAGATGTACATTAATCTCTCCTCAGCGGAATAAGAAATAAGTCATCCATGAAACGAGAATGGGCATTATAAAAAAAAAAAAAAAAAAAAGAACCAATTAAAGAACCTGGAAACCAAAAGCATGACCATTTAAATTAAAAGGAAAAAATTTCAGAAGAACTGAATAGCAGAACGCTCATAACTAAAGAGCAATTCAGCAGCTGAAAGAAATGTCACATCAAAAAGAAAGAGACATCCTAATAGAAAAATGGACAAAGGATATCAAAGGACGACTCACAGAAGAAATCTAAGTGGTCATGAAACGTGTGAAAAGATCCTCAGCATCAGTGGTAATCAGACAAATGCAAACTAAACCACAGTAGATTCAGTGTCTGCCCATCTGATGAGAAAAATGAAATGATTGATAGGCCCCAGTGTTGGCAGCAGTGCAGGGAAACAGCCTCACATAGTTTTGGCAGGAGACTGAACTGGCGCCACATTTTTGGAGGGCAACCTGGCAGATCTTTCCTAATTAAAATGTGCATACTCTTCTCTCCAGCAATTCCAGTTCCAAGACCCATCCTAGAGAAATACTGCACATGTATCCATAGTGACACACACAGGGAAGTCTCCGCAGCACTGTTCAAGATCATGAAAAATCGGAAGCCAGATAAGAGTGGTCATCAAAAGGAGAATGGGTAATTAAACTGTAATATGCATCCATACCATGGAATACCACACAGCATTTACAAGGTTTGGTATACAGATTAACATAGGAAGAGCTCATAGAAATATTTGAATGACAGTCAGCATGTCCTGAAATTACAAGTGTTAGATATATTGTTTCAGCACTTCACACAGTGATGTTTCATTAAAACTTTACAGTGACCTGAAGAGTTGAGTGCTACTATTAAACTCACTTCACTAAGATGGAAACTAAGGTGCAAAAGCTAAATAGTCGTCCAAAGTCAAACACATAAGTTAGAATTTTTTTTTTTTTTTTTGAGACGGAGTCTGGCTCTGTCGCCCAGGCTGGAGTGCAGTGGCGCGATCTCGGCTCACTGCAAGCTCCGCCTCCCAGGTTCACGCCATTCTCCTGCCTCAGCCTCCCGAGTAGCTGGGACTACAGGCGCCCACAACCGCGCCCGGCTAATTTTTTTGTATTTTTAGTAGAGACGGGGTTTCACCGTGGTCTCGATCTCCTGACCTTGTGATCCGCCCGCCTCGGCCTCCCAAAGTGCTGGGATTACAGGCGTGAGCCACTGCGCCCAGCCACATAAGTTAGAATTTAAAACTCAGCAGCCTCATTTTAGGGACCATGCTTTTTAAAACTGCATTCAATTATTTAGTAAGCATGTTAAAAAATCAAGTCACTCATTTATATGTAAGGAAATATGCAACCCGGGCTGGTGTGGTGGTGCATGCCTGTAGTCCCAGCTACTAGGGAAGCTGAGTGGGAGGATCACTTGAGCCCAGGATCTTGGGGTTACAGTGAGCTATGATCGCACCACTGCACTCCAGCCTAAGCAACAGAGTAAGACCTTGTCTCAAAAAAGGCTACACAACTTATGTGAAAAATAACAAAACTATATATTTCCTTATGTACATAAGTTTTTATGTTGCTGCTCAGGAGATATTTAGATAAGATACATGGCAAACTGATAAAGTGGAGGATGGAGACAGAGATTTGAAACGAATGAGGCTTTCACTTTGTATTGTGCTTGATTTTTCTTAGAATGTAATCATGAATTAATTGTATAATTAAAATTTTAATTTGTAGACGTTGGCCACCAGATCTCCACATTGGCATAAATGATATCTCTCCTTAGTGTTAGAAATGAAATTGTGAGTCTCAAAGGTTTTGATCTGGAAGAGAATAAAGATCTTCAGATATCTCTGGTTTAGCCTTTCTCTGGAACCTGAACTGAGTGAGGGGCATTTATCCTTTGCTTGAAACACTTCCAGGGACAAGGAACTCATCATTGCTAAAGCAGCTCCTATTATACAGGAAAAGCACACAATGTGGTTTAGTGGAAAAAGTACATTCTTTAGAGGCAAACAGTCTGAGGCTTAACTCTTGGTCCTAACCATGAAAACTTAGCCCTGGTTTCCTAATCTGTGGAATGGGGCTAAGATGCCTCCCTCAGGCGTCTGCCACTGCTGAGGCTTGAGTAGGTAAACAAAGTGGATGGGAAAGCTGGAACAGGGCAGAGCCCCCTGCAACTCAGCAAGGCCTGCTGCCTCTGTAGAGTCCACCTCTGCAGGCAGGGCATAGCTGAACAAAAAGCAGCAGAAACTTCTGGAGACTTAAACGTCCCTGTCTGACAGCTCTGAAGAGAGCAGTGGTTCTCCCAGCATGGTGCTTGAGCTCTGAGAATGGACAGACTGCCTCCTCAAGTGGATGCCTGACCCCGTGTAGCCTAACTGGAAGATACCTCCCAGTAGGGGCTGACTGACACCTCATACAGGCGGGTGCGCCTCTGGGACAAAGCTTCCAGAAGAAGGATCATACAGCAATATTTACTGTTCTGCAATATTTGCTGTTCTGCAGCCTCCGCTGGTGATATTCAGGTAAACAGGGTCTGGAGTGGACCTCCAGCAAACTCCAACAGACCTGCAACTGAGGGACCCGACTGTCAGAAGAAAAACTAACAAACAGAAAGGAATAGCATCAACATCAACAAAAAGGACATCCACACCAAAACCCCATCTGTAGGTCACCAATATCAAAGACCAAAGGTAGATAAAACCACAAAGATGGGGAGAAACCAGAGCAGAAAAGCTGAAAATTCTAAAAACCAGAGCACTTCTTCTCCTCCAAAGGATTGCAGCCCCTTACCAGCAACAGAACAAAGCTGGACAGAGAATGATTTTGACAATCTGACAGAAGTAGGCTTCAGAAGGTCGGTAATAACAAACTTCTCCAAGCTAAAGGAGGATGTTTGAACCCATCGCAAGGAAGCAAAAAACCTTGAAAAAAGATTATAGATGAATGGCTAAGTAGAATAGTGTAGAGAAAACCTTAAATGACCTGATGGAGCTGAAACCCATGGCAGGAGAACTATGTGACACATGCGCAAGCTTTCAATAGCCAATTTGATCAAGTGGAAGAAAGCGTATCAGTGATTGAGGATCAAGTGAATGAAATGAAGCAAGAAGAGAAATCTAAAGAAAAAAGAAGAAAAAGAAATGAACAAAACCTGCAAGAAGTATGGGATTACGTAAAAAGACCAAATCTACGTCTGATTAGGGTGCCTGAAAGTGAGGGGGAAAATGGAACCAAGTTGGAAAACACTCTTCAGGATATCATCCAGGAGAACTTCCCCAACCTAGCAAGGCAGGCCAACATTCAAATTCAGGAAATACAGAGAATGCCACAAAGACACTCCTCATGAAGAGCAACACCAAGACACATAATTGTCAAATTCACCGAGGCTGAAATGAAGAAAAAATGTTAAGGGCAGCCAGACAGAAAGGTCGGGTTACCCACAAAGGGAAGCCCATCAGACTAACAGCGGATCTCTCAGCAGAAACTCTACAAGCCAGAAGAGAGTGGGGGCCAATATTCAACATTCCTAAAGAAAAGAAGTTTCAACCCAGAATCTCATATCCAGACAAACTAAGTTTCATAAGTGAAGGAGAAATAAAATCCTTTACAGACAAGCAAATGCTGAGAGATTTTGTCACCACCAGGCCTGCCCTACAAGAGCTCCTGAAGGAAGCACTAAACATGGAAAGGAACAACCAGTACCAGTCACTGCAAAACCATGCCAAATTGTAAAGACCATCAATGCTAGGAAGAAACTGCATCAACTAATGAGCAAAATAACCAGCAAACATCATAATGACAGGATCAAATTCAAACGTAACAGTATTAATCTTAAATGTAAATGGGCTAAATGCCCCAATTAAAAGACACAGACTGGCAAATTGGATAAAGAGTCAAGACCCATCCGCGTGCTGTATTCAGGAGACCCATCTCACGTGCAGAGACACACATAGGCTCAAAATAAAGGGATGGAGGAAGATATACCAAGCAAATGGAAAGCAAAAAAAAAAAGCAGGGGTTGCAGTCCTAGTCTCTGATAACACAGACTTTAAACCAACAAAGATCAAAAGAGACAAAGAAGGCCATTACGTAATAGTAAAGGGATCAATTCCACAAAAAGAGCTAACTATCCTAAATATATATGCACCCAATATGGGAGCACGCAGATTCATAAGGCAAGTCCTTAGAGATCTACAAAGAACTTAGGCTCCCACACAATAATAATGGGAGACTTTAACACCCCACTGTCAACATTAGACAGATCAACGAGACAGAAGGTTAACAAGGATATCCAGGACTTGAACTCAGCTCTGCACCA